ACACGCTGTTCCTATGCCACACATATACATTATACTTACACACTGTTTATACCACACAACCTAACTTCCGAACAAGATGCAACGTGTCGCGGGTTCGATTCCCGCACGGAACAACACTTTGTGTGATCCACAAATTGTTGTTTCGGGTGTGGGTGTCAGGTGTATGTGAACTTGTATGTTTGTAAACGCACCCACGACACAGGAGAAAATCTTAGTGTGGGGCAAAGATTAAAAAAAAAATGAGTCCCTAATCAAGTTTCACCTAGCTACATCTTGTGCCCGGTACATGGCAATAGTCTCAATCCCTATTACATGGAACTCATAACATAGATAGTGGAAAGTAGGTGTTACATTGTACAGTGGCATTAAGTGCCGTATTGTGCACCTCGGCCTACACCTTCGGGGACAAAAGGCGTGATGTTATGTTATATATACCCATCCCAGCTTTGTAATTAGTGCTACTGAGATTTTTCGATAATCGAAGAAATTGAATACCATGGTTCAGTGGACTATCAGGTTACTGGCAGTCCTTGTAACGCATACATACTCTTCTAAATATGTAATTATTTCTGTTATATCTACCTACCTGCTCTTGGCAACTAATAGGGTAATTTCCTAATTATTTTTAATGTCCGTCTGTTAGATTATTTTTTTTATTTTCTTTTAAAGTTAAATACTTTCGACGATATATTGATTTCAAATATCGTGTGACGTCACGAATTGATACGTTTTATATGCATAGGAACGTGAGACGTAACAACCTCTCATTCCTAAACTTAAATTTGTTCTATCTACTATAAGTATTGTTTTCTTGTATGACAAGATAAAAAGATACGTGTCTAATATTTTTTCATTATTTAACTGACGGACTAATTAGATTATTAATTGTCAACTACACAATGGGGGCTACCATATTTTCAGTCATCAAATGTAGAAAGACATTTTATGCCCAATCATAGCAGTTGTCAAATAGAGTGGACGAAGAACTGGAGGTGTGTGTGATAGATGAACACTAGCGTCATTAATGAGGTAAAATACTAACCAATGTATTCAAAATGTAATACAGAAAAATATTGTTAGTATACGGCCAGAGTTCTCAGTGCCACAGTCTATAATAGAGAATATCCTGTTGGAGGAGCACAAACGACGAAGAGGGGAAAGGCGCCGGGCGATGCGTCGACAATTTCTAACATCCTTGGCAGCGGGGACACGTTATACAAAGTGTTAGCCTGTACCGACATGAAAACATTTTTAATAAAAACTACTTAAAATCGACCTTTATTTTTCTTGAATAAATCAAAAACAAGCGACTACACAGCGTAGAATTACATACATGACATCTGATACTCGTTATTATTTATGTGTAACATGTTAAATTCATACTGTAGGCCACATGGTACTGGACAAAGTATCGGGTTCAATTCCCGCTCTTGAATATTAATTCACCGTTCATCCATAACGTTAATGGCCACCTTGGAGGGTGAAAATTCAATAATACTAAATAAGGATGTCATTGTTTATGAAGTTGTAAATTGTAGGATAATAAATTATTATACAATAAAGTAGAATACATACAATGGATTTGTGAATTCAACAGATGATTTATACATATTGTATATTGGATATGTATAATTCATCTGCACTATTGGCGTAGTGGTCGAGCGCCAGCTGCCTGTGCAACGTCTTGTGGGTTTGATAACAATTTCACAGATTGTAGCTCCGACTAAATACCCAATTTAAATGGGGCTACACTAGTCTTCTGTTTACTTTTTACTCGTACCTTTCTGTCCTCGTACTCTTCAGTCGCTACTAATCCTGTACGCTAAAATTTAGCAATCAAAAAGCATAAATTAGTCCCAAAATAGAAACCAGTATTGGATTCAAGCTGTAAGCTGTAGACTTGATGAGCCGGAAAGGAAGGAGAACGTATACTCAGCCAGGTCATCTAGAATAGGTACACTATACAACCATAGGTGTCGCTAGTAAAACAATAAAAGTTGGGGAACCTCCAGCGAAAAGTGTGGGAACTAGCGCAGTTTACAAAGCAAAGGGCGCAACCAAAGCAGTGTCGAAACAACGGAGACCCCAAGCGTGATAACTTTAGCTATGCGCCGGTAGATGGCGTTATCTATAAGTAAGCGTATAGCATAATTTTTATTTAGCAACTCAAGCAATGTTGATTCAATGTAGAATACTATGCTATTAAACAAATATGGTGTATAATGCAATCATTTAATATATATCATTAGCTACCACAATCATCATATTTGATATAAATTGTTAGTTGGTGAACATGAGCAAGCAACTTGAACAAGCATCTTAAATTTTGAAGGCTCAGAGTTAGAATACACGTTAATTATAACAGTCGCATATTAATATATACACAAATACACATACAGTAGGTACCCTAGACTTACAAATTGCATATACGTGCTTAAAAAAATAAATAACTGGGTAAGTATTGTTAAATTTTGTAATATATCTATGCGAGGTACCTACTTATAGTCATCAGCACGAACTGTACCCAGGTTTTTCGTGTTGGAGGTAGATTCACACGTTGTATATGTTCTCATTAATTTATGGCTATATCTACACTTAATAATATCTAATCGATACAAAGTTATCGTAACAAGCAGTAATACCTATGTATTGTAAGTAAAACTTAGACATACCTATATAAAACAATACACAAATTTACCAACATAACGCAAAATCTGATCATGGCATCAAGTATTACAATTTACAATTGTCTAACAAGCGAATAAGCTTAAAAGTAATTCTCTGGGTCGGTGAATCACGCAAGGGCGATCCGGGTCACGGCCGATGGTTATGGCTGGCAGGGCACCGGCACACAAGTCCATGAGGATTTTCATCGCGTTAGGAAATAACTACTTACGTTTAATATTATCAAAGTCCATAATGAGACCAGACTTCTGGACACACCTAAACGCCAAGCAGCAAAATCAACGCTGAACGCAAAAGTTGCAGTACATAAAGTGTTGAAAGAAAATTACAATGCGTAAGTTGATCCGTAGATTCACGACTATCCATGCGCAAAAGTAGGTAAAATCGATGACGCTATGCCTGCTTAGGCCTTAGAACTTAACTGTTTAAGTGGACATCTACTCCAACAAATTATAATCACTTTTACACTTTTATTTCAGTCACTCTAACACTGCTATCACTTTATTTATATATAAAACTTAAATAAACAACAAAACAGTAGAATTGTGTTTGACGCTCCAAATTATTTTAACCCTCCGCGCTTCACAGAACGCTATTATTGCGACCCCCAACATTATAAGTTAATTTGTTACAGCGCCATCTATGGTTGCTATTTTGAACTACTTCGAATAGGTGTACACCTATTCGAAAACATTCGTGTGTGTTTAACGTTTCATGAAGTTAATAAAATATTCATAAGGTTTGTCTCATACAATTTTCTATGATAATTAAATATCGGGATTATAACATGAATTATATCAATTCAGTATAAGTTTATTCATGTGGAAATTAATTATTTGTTTACGACTACATAATTCGGAGTTCGTATATACGGTCATAGATGGCGTTTTCTTCGCTACGAAACCAAGTTGCGTAGTCTGTCGGCGTAGAGGAGTGATTTCGTAGTTCATAATATTTTCACTAGATGGTCGTATGCGTTATTAAGCAGCATACGTGGGTAAACGTTTGCATCTAGGGGCATGGGAGTACGAGGTAAAGCGCAAGGCACTACCTAGTTAGGTAGTAGGAGGTAGGTAAAGGAAGTTTCCTTAAACCAAATTTTTTGAACCTTATTATAATAATATCTTTAGGATATGATACAGCGTTAACTAGTTCAAAACTAAAGTGACATTAAGTTTGGAATAGGCAACTTTTATTAATATAACTGATTAGGATAGAATTGCATAACTGTTTATGTTACAGCTAAATACTACAGTCGTCACCCGTAGCGCATAGCTCGTAGAACATAGCGCGGCACGGCTACCGGCCGCCGCTACGCCCGCACGGCTGCACGTGCAATATCTCTAACTAGCTTTCACCCGCGGCTTCGCTCGCGTCACAAAAGGATAAAAAGTAGCCTGTGTGACATATACCAACACACACAGCGCCATTTCCGGGATAAAAAGTACGTTCTAACTTTACGTCTGCAAAAATTCAAAGCAATCGGTTTAGTAGTTACGGCGTGAAAGCGGAACAAACAAACAAACACACTTTCCGATTTATAATATTAGTAAGGATTCCATGTGTTCTTGCTGCGTTTACAACCTCATGAAGGTCTACCCGGATAGTTTAATGATAAGTATAAGGCTCTAATGTCTGTTTGCCTCGTGTATGTGAGCTTTATTTTATTTTATCTCTGTTTCCAGATTTTGTGTGCATATATTATTATTACTGTTATTTTATTTTAATTATATGTTGTATTGTATTTTGTTTAACGTATGGCATAAGCCCGTAAACGAGCAGACGGATCACCTGATGGTAAGCAATCGGCGTCGCTCATGGACACCCGGAACACCAGAGGCGTTACAAGTGCGTTACCGGCCTTTTGGGGATTAGGAGTTTGAGGATCGTTAGGGATTCAGGAGTTGGGGAGATTGGGGAAAGGTAGGGTAATTTACATCGTTTTAATCGAATCTATAAATCGTAGTTTACATCGTTTTAATTTATAAAATTACCAGATAAACTATGGGTAATACATACATAGTCGTGGATCCCTGACTCACTTCATGTTATACAGGAGACATTATCGTTCCTCGGTCAGCTTCTTTAACGTGTATTTTGTGTGTCCAACTTTATCTAGAGGTAATGTTCTATAGTTTTACTACATTTTCTCATTTACTTTTAACACTTTTTTATAGTAGGTTCTTTAATTTAGTTTTCTTTTTTATATATTTTTTTGTAATTTAATTTGATTAATGTAATTGGTGGTGGTGTATACAGTGTTAATCAATAAACAAAAGTAAATAAATAGCCTTGAGGTGGGATTGAAGATGAACATGTCGAAGACCAAACTAATGACCAACAGCATAAAATATAGGTTAGAGGTAGATGGCGCGGAAATGGAATACGTCCAAGAATATATCTATCTGGGCCAACTACTTTCTTTCCAGGCGAGACAAGATAGAGAAGTTGCTAGACGCACCGAAAATGCCTGGAAGAGCTATTGGTCCATGAAAGACCTAATGAAAGGTAATCTTACATTAACGTTCAAAAAGAAACTCATGGACGTGTGCATTCTGCCCATCCTTACCTATGGCGCTCAAACTGGGTCTTTGTCAGAACATCAGAAATACAAACTCAAGGTTTGTCAGCGGGCCATGGAGCGCAGTATCTTAGGAGTTCGACTATCGGACAGAATTAGGAACACCACGCTGCGCTCCACAACTAAAATCGTTGACGTTGGCCATAAAGCCGCAGGCTTGAAGTGGAACTGGGCTGGTCATGTCTGCCGCATGTCACATGAGAGGTGGGCAAAACTTACTACTGAGTGGAGCCCACTCAACGTCAGTAGACGTCGCGGCAGGCCCAAAAGGAGATGGCGGGACGAACTAGACATCTATTACAAGGATTCGCCGCAAAAAGCTTTACGTAGAGAGTAGTGGAAGGAAGGTAGGGAGGCCTTTGCCCTGCAGTGGGACGATCATGGCTGAAAATAAAAATAAAATAAATAAATAGCTCGTAGCACGGAGCTCGCAGGACGTAGAAAGTAGTATCGTTTTCCCGCCAGTAACCTCGTAGACACGCAAATCCTACATGCAGTTATAATTATATATTGTATAAGTGAAATAAAAGGAAAGAGCATATTCCTTTTGAAAAATCCGGCAATGCACTCGTGACTCCTCTGGTGTTGCAGATCTTCATGGGCGGCGTTAATCGCTTCGATGATCCGTCTGCTCGTTTGCCTTCTATACCTGGATACGTTTTGAGGAGATGTCATGCTCTTTCCGAATGTTTATTTCGGGAGCACAACTAGATACAATTTTCTAGAATTTATATTAGACAACTTTTTCGTGAAACCAATAGTTTTGGCGCCAAATTTAAAAAAAATGAGTTGTGTAAATAACCCTAATAAGGTTTTTTGTTTATTTTGTTTAGTTTAAGAACTTCTATACATCGTTACAGTAAATCAGAAGTAATAGTAGGTTTTACACGTACAGTTAATACTACGCAATGCCCTAGTATATTAATGTAGTACGCAATGCCCTACTTGCCATTCATATCAGAGCGTGAACGTGAACTCTTTGACCCCTGCTGCCGAGACTTATGCACACAAGTGTGTACATGTATCAGCCAAAATTTGCGACATATCTACTGATGTATGTCTCAGGTAAAGTGTCACTACTCTATACTACTGTACTCTAAACACAAATGCTTTTGGACTTTTAATTGAATTATCACTGACGAATTAAGTTACCTGTATTATATCGAGGATCTACAAAATTCCAGTCGAGTCGACGAGTTGATACCTACGCTCTCAAGTTGTGAATCCTGCAATGCTATTCTCTAAGAAACAGTTTCTAGGCTGTAAGCTGCGTCGAATTCGTCGACGAGACAGCCTAGAGATCGACCGAGCCTTCAGCGCTGTTTTAAACTGTATTCACTAACACATTATAGCTCGTCGGCGAACTGACGGCTGTAAGCTGTCGCCATTGTTTCATCGACGAATTAAGGCTTTCAACATTTTTCTTTAAATCATAATCGATCCCCGACTATATACTATATGGGGTGGGTGAAACAATGTATACAGTTTCTCGATTTTTTAACACAGAATATGAAATTTGCACCTTGTGTGTGGCAATAGTCGGTTCATCAGATATAAAAAATAGGCTTATGTCCCCTACTACAAGGAAATTATAACGTAACTGGGAAAAGTGAGTGTTACATAGTGTATGCGATCCCACGTGATCGCGAGTATTAAAAGTTCTGACGTTACCAAAAAATATTTTTTTTTTTAAGTAATCAATAGTCTGCAGTCGCACTTGCGACCACTATTTTTTACACTACTCGTGTGAATTATTGTGTAAATATTGAATTTGCGGTTCTTTCCGTGATTGGCTGGTGATCTGGTTAAATGACATAAAATGGCAATTGACTGCCTCGTTGGCCGAGTGGTCGTAAGTGCGACTGCCGGGCAAGGGGTTCCATTCCCGGGTCGGGCAAAGTACTATTTGGTTTTTAAAAAATTCTCAGTAATAGCACGGAGTCTAGAATTGTGCCTGGTATATGGCAATAGGCTCACCGCCTATTACATGGGACTTTTAACATAAATAGTGAAAAGTGGGTGCTACATTGTACAGTGCTAATTGTGCACCTCTGCCTACTCCTCCGGGGATAAAATATTATGTTTATGTTAATCAATAGTTAATAATAGATTGCCACTTGCGATCACTATATTTTTCAATGTCACACTAGTATTATATAACTATCTGAAAATTAATTTCTTTAAATTTTGTCAGTCAATCACGCTGAAACTACTGAACGGATTTTGATAAAATTTGGTATACAAACAACCCTGAATTATCATCAAAATAGGCTGAATTAGGTGATAGGAGAATAATCCCGATTACATGCTCCCATGGGATAAAACATGAATACGCGCGCAAAGTAAAAAGCTAGAAGAGGATAAAGTTATCTTTGTCCTATACATCGCACGCTTAAAGACTCACTTCACGAAGAAGATTCACTTTAAAGTTTAAATAATTATTTTGTCATTAAAACAAGTTGCAGTTTACATCGTTTTAATTTACACCAATTTATAAAATTACCAGATAAACTATGGATAATACATACATAGTCGTGGATCCTTGACTCACTTCATGTTATACAGGGGACATTATCGTTCCTCGGTCAGCTCTTACACTTCGTTTACGATCTCAGTGGTGATACCTTCGAAAAAGGTTCCATTGATATATTACAAAGGTGAAAACTCGCCACTGAGTTCATAAATGAAGCCTGATGATCCACACCTGATAATCCAGGTCCATTCCAGAAGTCCAAGTCTGCTAAGCTACGCAATTCTAATCAAAAGTCTTACTGAACGGTCATTGTCATTGTCATTGTAGGTACTGTTTTTGAAAAGTCATCAGATGAGCTAACAGACTTGTACCCCTTTAACTTAATAAACTTGCATGGACACAACTCTTAGTCTGACTAGATTGTTCGTCCAACCATCACATATAAGAACCTATTTACGTATAAAACATTAACATAAAAACTCATTTGTTTAATATATAATACAATAATTTAAATAAAACCTACTACACAATATAATAATTATTACTATTAAACTAATTTTTGACTAAGAAACAATATGAAAAAATGACTAGGGTTGCCTGTAATTTGTTAGCAGGTTAATAACTACTCTAAACATGTACAGATTTAGTGGAAGGCGTGCTTGTAACATGAATATCCTACTTTGGAATAACTTCTATAACATTGAATTAATGAATATTGTTTAACGGACACAGCTAGACATTTATAATACTCAAAGAACATTTGTGTTAGTCTATTCATTTTAAGAAAACATATTATTCATCAACGTTCTTGAATAAGTATTTTTCTTAAAACGAACAGACTTTATAGATAAACAAATTGTGATATAAAATCGAACTGTTAAAAACTACTTACGGGTCAGATTTGTAAATATTGAAATTGTTTGAAAGGTATATTAGTTAGCACGTATGTATAGACACCCACTACTTACAACTACAATAATTTTGATGTACAACATCAGACAATAATTTATACATGTTTGTCTACCTATACCCATTACGTTGACTATGTATCTTAAAAAGTATAATCTACACAGTTATATAAGTTCTGAAATTGTGGCCTAAGATATATTTTTATAACTTTATATACATTATTTACAATTTGAAATTCTATAAACTGTGCGAATACATATGTTCCAACAGTAGAAACAATAATATTTGTAAAGAATCTTGAAATACGTGTGTGTTTTTCTTTTCTTGTATATCGCAATCGCAACGAGCCATTTTAATTGACTGACTACTTGACTGCACGGTTGGCGCGGTGGCTGGGCAACTGGCTGCCGCGCAACGTGTCGCGGGTTCGATTCCCGCACGGAACAATTATTTGTGTGATCCACAGATAGTTGTTCCGGGTCTGGGTGTCATGTGTATGTGAACTTATATGTTTGTAAACGCACCCACGACACAGGAGAAAATCCTAGTGTGGGGCAACGTTTAAAAAAAAAAAAAAAAAAAAAAAAAAAAAAAAAAAATGGCACAACTGTCAATGTGTCTAGCAATAAGGAAGAAAGCTGAAGAATGATATAATAAACTGTATTATATTTCACAGAAAACTAATTTCTTAATAAGGTACACATTATTTGCTCAAAGGTCAGTCAACTACGAAGATTGGAAAACTGAAACGAATAATAAATAACTTTATCTACTGAAATTTAGTAATATTTATAGTAGAAGTAGTCTACCTCAAATGATGACCTTTTCTGTTTTCTACAAAATTTAAGTGACAATATTATGGTTCAGTTCAGATTCATATATACAAGCGAATATCTTATTTCTTACGGAAGGTAACAACATATTCTTAGAATGTATTCGCCATATATAGGCTCTTCCTACTTTTTATTTAGATACATCAAATTTCTTATATACAACAGACACCTATTTATGTAAATCTCCTCAGTGATTGGTGATTTCTGTAAATTATTTTATATATTTACTGTTTAATAATTATATTTCTTCGATTCATTTCGACGTCTACTTTTAACAGGTTACAAATACAAAGCCTAAAATACTGAAATTTTCAATTATCGACTGATTTAGTACAACATCGAGAGCTGTAAAAGTGATTAATAAAACTGTTGTGAACCAGGTGATTAAACATTTCTAGAATAATGTACTATCGTAATAAAATTACAATTATTAATTATTTTGCCTATTGGGGGATATTAACATAGGGATGTACCGTTTCCAGGAGGTATCCTATTATCATAATTTTATTGAAATATCATTGTTTTGTGTTATCTTGTATTGGCCTAAGAAATACCATTTCATAGTGAAGACACAATAGAGTTTAGGTCTATTAATACAATGGTTTTAATCTACGACAGTTCTGGAAGTAATAAAGAAAGGGGGCAGCTGTTACCACATTTGAAGTGTCTACAGGAGTTTATTCTTGTGATACAGAAGGAAACTAGATCATATTACACAATGCAAATACAGACAGTACTACCTACAACATTTATATATTTGCTCTTGCTAATTTAACTACGGAACAATCAACAGCTTCATACACAGTTTACCTACAATGGTTCAGCAGAGTATCAGTCTGGTTCAAGACAGCAGTTTGTGGATAAACATTGGTATAGACAAAGTTGTGACTAGTAGCAGTCTCGGTACATTTGGGGACGTGCGTTGTTGGGCGCAGTCGCTGGCCAAACATAGGAGTCAGGGCAGCGCCACGTCCCACGTTAAATCAATGATCAGTACTAAAGTAAGAATTCTGCATGAGGTATAACTTGTCTATGGGGTTCACGACGGAGCCAGTGCCGAGGTTCAGTGGCTCGTGTGCCGAGTGGCCGGGGTGCTGGTGCGAGTGATGCTGCACTTCCAAGTTCTGCAAGCTCATCGTATCGGAGGCACCCTCATCCAGCTGGTCGAAGTTGCTCCCATCCAGAGATATGTCTGAGCTGCAGAAGCTATCGCCAGAGTGTGCCGGATAATCTGTAAATGACAAGTTAAAATTCAATGTAACGATAATAAACTGGAAAATACAAAATTCATTATTTATTTCGTACCGTAATTAACTATGAATCCAAAATGAAGAAATAATATAAATGAATGCAATGAAAAAGCTTTAACTGTACTCCGTCTGTCTGTGAATGTATATTTTACAAAATATTTGACGTGTCGGGAATAAACGTAGACAAACAGTGTGCATATTTGGTGTAACTTTGTGGCACTCTCACTTTTTATAGTGAAATTGCAGAATAAGTGTTGCTTAAAATTTTCTACGTACTTACTTTCGTTTTTAATTCATGTATTATAAAACGATTTTCTAATATACATATATACATACATACATAACATCACACGTAAGTTTTTTTTGAAAAATACCCAGTAATACTTAGCCCGAACCGGGAATCGAACCCGACACCCCTAGCCCGGCGGACGCATTTGCGACCACTCGGACAACGAGGCAGTCGATTTTCTAATATAATAAATAAAAATAAGTAATATTGAATATGACCTACCATCAGGAGAGTACGGCAGATTCGGGTTGAGTGGTTGACTTGAAGCTGAGTATGCGCCATCCAGGCCCAGGTAGTTGCCGTGCTCGCTCGATGGGGACTCTTGCTTGATACTCTTCTCATCTTTGTCCTTCTCTTTGTCATTGTTCTTCTCTCCCTCCTGCTTCGCTTTCCTCTGGATCTTCTTCATCTTGGCCCTTTGGTTCTGGAACCATACCTGCACAACTCGGACGCTCAGACCTGTGTCCTTGGCTAATGCTTCTCTGACTTTCCTGCATGGCTTTGGACTGACTTCAAATGAGGCTTTGAACTGCCTGCGCTGTGCTGATGTCAGTATGGTTCGTGGACGTTTCGGGCCTCTGCGACCATCTCGAGGACGTTCAGAATCATCTAATATCATATCATCTTCAGCGTGTTGCATCAAATACATTTCCTTTTCAAAATCTTGGCGACAGAAGATTTGTCCTGCTCTGATGACGTATTGTTCTCCTTTCTGGAGAGGCTGGCAACACATGACGCATACAAAGCATTGAATGTGAAACACGTACTGTTGAGCTCGCATGACCATCTCCTGCGGCAGGAGGCGGTCGCCGCACCTGGTGCATTTGACTCCGAACAATCTATAGAACAAGAACTCATTATTGCAAAAACACATAGCAGTTCAAATCGCCGAGCAGTTCGCATAGGCCATCGCTAGCAGTTCGCATGGGAGTAGTTGCTGGGGCACATGTTTATCTAATAAATATTTTAATCTAGGGTGACAGAACGGTAAATAAACTCCTAGAAACAAAGTTTCCAAGAGCTCGTGTCGGGTTATTATGAATAGTTTAAACAAAACCTTCAAGAGCAAAACGTGGTGAGTGAACATTTTGCCGTCAAAGGTTTAGGGTGATGTAGTTACCTATCATAGTCGGGTTTGCAGTAAAGCTTGGCATTTCTGGTGTAGCAGGTGTGTGCGAGCGGGCAGCCGCAGACACAGCAGCTGAGGCAGTGCTCGTGCCAGGACAGCTCACCCACTCGCATCAAGTAGCGGTCCTGGATCTTCTGACCACATCCTTCACAGATCTCCACAATCTTCTCCCGCTTGATGCTGGCGCTGAGTTCTGTGGTAACATCGCTATCATTAGCAGCATGTGGTAAGTCCGAATACGCCTAAACACATAATTTAACGATAGTAAACTAAAACCAAAGTGTATGCATGGCCTTTACATCTCATCGCAGTTGATCAACTTGCGTCAAAGGTACATTGTGAAACTTGCATTGCTTATTCAATTTCGAGATTCCAGAAGCAAGTTTAGGAACACTAGTTCTTGTTTAGTTACTAAGAGCTACACAAGGTGTATCGGCACTCTTTGAAGGCGCACACAGATCGCGCTTGAGAAGTTGGGTAAAGCGTTACTTCGTAGCGAAGTAATATCGCGAGTTCTAATCACAGAAGACATTGCAGACAAACCGCTGCGTCTTAGGACCTTGTTACTAAATTGCGCGTTTCCAAAGTGCGCGCTTCAAAGCACGTAATTTATTCAAGCTTGAAATACTTGCTCGAGACGTTTCATATAACATTATGTTGTGTGGAGTGGGTGGGTACAAGATGGTCTTTGACAAACGGCGTCTGGATTGAAATTAAATTTTCAGAATTATATAGAGACAGGCTTGTGAACTGGATTACCAAACTTGTTACTTGTTGTATTTGCGTCTTTAAAGGGACTTGGAGAGGATTGTTTGTTGGGTAAATATGTGTGGGTTAAATCACCGAGTGATGTCCTCTATTAGGGATTTATCGAGCTAATTTAACAAAGCCGGTCAGGATTGGATGGTGCTTCTCAAAACTAGGTGTCGGCATCACAGTGTTGCAGTTTGGAGAATAAATAGTTGATAGGACGCTGCGCCACTGTTAGACAACACACGACACAACTCGATGTATTCAGCCGTGAACTCGGATTCTACGTTTCATTCTCAATCACCGTTCTCGTACTATTTAGATATATGTACGAATGTTGGACTTGTGTTCCTGGACTTGTGTATTATAGTATTTTATTTAATAAGGAAAGTCTTAATTGTTATTAAGAACTCAAAACACAATGCATACACTTTTGTAATTGAAATGATTGGCACTAACTGCTCATACAGTATTTTGTATAGTCGATCATATAAATGCTTCGCTATAACAATGTACACTGCACATGTTTTAAAAAGTATTACAGAACCAATTAGCCTATTAGATGAACAATTAATTTTACTAAACGAATATTTTAAAACAAAGGCACGAACCTAAATCTCGTAACTGAAAAGCACAAAAGGCTCACATCAAGTTAGATGTTTAAGCCATTTTGTACTCTAAAGCTATGCACTTTTATGATCGAGTAAACGCAAATAGCTTGGTACTTAAAATTAGGGTTGCTCACTCTATTTTAAACTACCAAGAAACGTAAATTAGACACAGAAATCAAAATGATTGATGATTTTAATTGTTTAAGTATGGAATAAGGAAATAGCTGCATATAGTATCTGATTAATTTTAAAGACATGATCATGTCAAATGAAAAGAAAACGTTTGCCAATAAAATATTGTTGCTCTTACGTTATTCATTTGAGCCCTCTTATTTGTATTCTCTGGCGTATAAAGACGGATAAAGAAAAGAAAAAAAAACATTTTTCATTCATAAAGAAAGTTATAAGAAGAGACAAGTGGAAGAAGGATAGGGAGGCCTTTGTCTTGCAGTGCAACGGTCATGGACAAAATAAAATAAAATATAAGGTTTTTCTCTATTTTATGCGCAAACAATTCCGTATCACTTATACATATAAAAAACTTAACGCCTCACAATAATAACAAAAATACATTAAGATTTAATACTTCATTAAAACGTTGAATATTTCGCCAAAATGTAATTCGCAAAGCAAGCATTATTGAAGTACCTGTTGTTAATAATTTTAATACAAGTAATAAAATGAACCTGTAGTTAATTTATTTAACTGAGAGGTATTTACAAAAAAAAAGTGCATTTAAAAACAATTTTCATATCAAATGGTTCTATATACTCGTAGCCAGTGAAGCTATGTCAATTAATATCGAGTTTTCATCAAAACATTAATAAAGTGGCTATTATGGAACTGCAAAATGCAGATAGAACTTTGTGCCTATTGCCTATTTCATGAAGAATGAGGTTCTGTGTTGAAACTTATGACTTCATCATCAACAGCCTATAAATGCCTACTGCTGAGCAAGCCTCTTCTCACACGAAGAAGGCTTGAGGAATTAATCACCATGCTTGCTGTCACTGCTATCTCTATAGTCTCATAACAAAAAACTATTATCTATTAAAATCTATTTGGACAATCTGTTTAAAGGCAGCTAAAGTTTAATATACGTCAGATAACCGATTTCAAACGAGCCTTCCATTCTTCTTAGCTCGTGAAACTAAAATATAGTCCACTTAAATGCAACGGCTACCTGCAGTTATGTCTATAGCAATTAGATACTACAGAATTTTTAATGCTTTACATATAATATACAAGGTGTTGTTTTAAAGCCGCGTCATTTTCTAGGAGGTAACTCGGCTGTCGATTCTGAGTCTGAATCAATAATAAAAATTGTTGGTAAATATTTTTCATTTTTCTGAAATTACAGAAATCCGTAAGTGCGAAGTACACGCCGCCGTCTTGTAACTAGCTTTATAGCGCGGCTTAACACACACACACACAAATTCAAACACGTAATTGATATTATTCCTAATTCCATAAAACTCCAATAAGAAACAGTGCTGTCGCTTATTCTGAAATACTGTCGAACTTAAACGATTATAGCCGTATTTTTAATTATTGGCCTGAAATTTTCTCTTTCATTGAACCTTTATGACTTCTGTGACATGCCCCCGAGAAATGACACGGCTTCAAAACTACACCTTGTATATGGAAGTCTTAGGCCTATGTTAGCAGTGGGCGTCTTATGGTCGATATGATGATAATGATAATGACATAGAATAGGTAGAACAAACAACAGTGCCGGATTAACCGTAGCAAGTCGCAATTACTACGGGCCCTACATAAAAGCGCCCGATTTGCGTACCAGCCCAAATGCACCTCCACCAGAACAATTTTATAATGATTTTTAAAACACTCTCATTCTATCCTGTATTGTAGTGCTGCGAGTTATATGATCTCACCTCACGATGGCAACTAAATTTTAAACGGGGCCCATACATTCTGAATCCGTCTCTGGTTAAAATAAATAAGACGTTTTTTTGCACTAAGGGCTGATTTTTCATTGCTCAGTTAAATTTTATCACTGGAATAACTTTGAATATTTGACAATTCTTTCATACTAATAAATAATAACGGTCAATTTTATTCTACAGTTTAGAATTAACTGATGATTAATAATGATTAATATATGAATGATTTATAATCGACCCCGAAATGGAATTTACTATAAATCTAAAAATCATGCCTCTACACAGATATATAAGTTTATAGAAAATGCAAGTTCAATTATCGTGGGAATTTTCCACATGCCTTGTCGGCCGTTGGTACAAAGCGAAAGGTTCGAATCTCGGACTGCTCCCTTTTCATTTATTTTCTCTGCCCTCTTTGCAGTTACGTTACTCTCTATGTTGCTTTCGTTCTGATGTTCGTATCGCAGTCTACAATCAATGCCTTTGCCATATTTTTGTCAATATTTTGTCTGCCTGTACAGTCGCGCAATGATTGAGTCTAACGGCTGTACAACATGGCTCATATCGCGTTCGATTAAATTGATTGCGTGATCCACAAATTGTTAATTAAAGTCTTTATTTGATTGTGTAATGTGAAATTGTGTGTATAAACGCACACACATACAAATTCAAGTGTCAGTCAACATTTCTAATAAATAAAAAAGAACAATACATACATATATGCTACAGATAAATAAAATTGGAGGGTCTGTTATAATAAAATCACCGCTTTTTACTAAATGCATATTAATATACACACGATACATATACGAAAATATTGTTTTTTTAATTTTAACTGCCTGTAAATAACATTTTTTACAATTTTATGGCTGCACCGATTTTGCAAGACTTTTATTGGTAGATAGCTGATGTACTAAGGAGTAACATAGGCTTATTTTATTTAGGAACATTGAAAGGCAAAAAGAAATGTTCTAAAATTCATATTTTACGCGAACGAAATAAATAAACATGTTCTGTATTATCCTTTTGCCATTGAAACATTTACAGTTAAAATTCACATCCACGTAGATACCCAAAAAAGTCACAAATGACAGTGTCGAATCCAAAGTTAAACAAAAATGTGTCTATCAAAATACAAATAAAGAACGCGGTCGTTTCACTGGAAAACGATGTTTTAATAGTTTTTGAGCACGCGTCGCATTTTGTTTACCCAAAATAAAATGCCACGATGCGTCTCTCATTTCAGTTTCGTACAGGCACCTACATACTAAAGTAAATATGATTTTGAAATCCCTCGTTAATCTTATGTTTTAATTTATTATTATTAAACCAGACATATAAAATTTTAAAATATAATTTTTCTTCTTTTATTTATATACAAAACATAATTAATATTCGTAGAAATGGATATTAGGTTCTATTATTAATTTCAAATAAGACTAGAACATGAGAAAATCAAAAAACCTTATCCAGCATTTTAAGTAAAAATTAGCTAAACTGAGAATGATAACTAAATTGCCGTTCACAATTCAGCGTAAACGGTTAAAGAATCAGACGTTTAACCCTCGAAGGAAACTATTGATTAAATCCCAAACACAGGGTGTATACACCCATCAAGTGTAGTTTACGTACATGTACCTATAGCAACGGTCGAAAGCTTGGGAGCAAAATAAGGCGCCTTACCGCGCTCCTTAGACGTGCCTGCGGAGGGTAACCACGCCCCCTCGGAGGGTGGGGTGTTACCCAACCTCGGGGTCACGGTGATCAAGTCGACCAACAAAATTTTCCCGAAAAACAATCACCATTGTTATGGCTAATCGATTCGCCGCACTACTAGTTATAGCCTGGCTTTGAGGTGTAGTATTAAATATTTTTCTTCTAATTAAATTATTAATTTAATATTATATTAAAATAATATTTTTCTGAAA